GAGAGAGAGAGAGAGAGAGAGAGAGAGAGAGAGAGAGAGAGAGAGAGAGAGAGAGTTGGCGAACTGCGACAAAACAGTTCGAGCAGCCATAGCAAAGAGACCTCATAATCATAAATCAAAGTCGAGTATCCCAAGTATGAAAACTGCACAAGAGAGCAAACATGCGTTCCCTCGACCGGTTTCGCCCAATCCGCATGGGCATCGTCATGAGGGTGACTCATCTGAGTCTTCATGCTCGAAAAGGGGAGACCTAAGCCTTGTTCCCCGGGCTTTATACTACTCATCACCGCCTCTTCCCCATGGCTGACCCCTACGTCCTATCTTGACAGCCCTCACTTCCATCACACGTAGAACTTGCGCCTTTTAAGACTGCATGTGCACCAACAGTGGCTCACGAACCCAAGAACCCCTTCGTTGACCCTGTCCCGAAACCCGAATCAGCGTCCTTTTCAGTCCGGGTACATTGCTTTTCCTACAATATCAATCCGGGCCGATCGGTCCGGGTGCGCCCGAGTCCCCCGTAGGTTAGTTAGTCCCCCTCTTTTAGTCTACCCGGCTGTCGCGGGCGCTGGCTTCTATTTCCATAATTTCAAAAATTTTAAAAAATTATAAAAATTTTAAAAACGAGTTCCCCTGCCTTTGTCCTCAAGTACCGACTACGATGTTTCTAGGCTTCCGGTTGGTACTCTGTCGAATACCTCCCGCGAGCTCCAAAATGGGGTACTCGATATTTGTAACTATAAGTCTGAGAGAAAGCAAAAATGAAATCGAACAACGAAGACGAAAAACGAGAATTACGTCTGAAAATAACGAAGTCGAAATGAAACGAAAAACTCAAACGAAATACTCAAGCGAAAACGACCGACCTTCAAGCGAAATAAGTCCAAAATAACGAAAAAAACTCAAACGAGAACTCGAGCGAAAACGACCGACTTTCAAGCGAAAATAAGTCCAAACTAAGTCTGTAAGCAACGAAACGAAATCGAAATCGAAATCGAAATCGAAATCGAAATCGAAATCGAAATCGAAATCGAAAGCCGAAAACCAAAAGACGAAAAACGAAATCGAAAAGGAGAACAAAACCAAGAGTCGAGAGTCCGCCACAGGCCCGAATCCAACCCGAACTTGAAATCCCGTACCCCTACGGGTCGTCATCCCGTGGTTCTGCGTTCAGAGTAGCCTCCCTTTCTTTCAGCTTCGTTTTTCGTCCTTCGTCGGTCGGCCCGCTCCATCTTTAGCCTGCGAGCAGTTTCTGCAGTGCTTGGTCCGGCACAGCCTTGGCCAAATCGACCAAAGCACCGAGAGATACCTCCGAGGGGTAACCCCGAAGGTCTGCTTCACATATCGCGTACCCAATGACTCCCAAAACCAACTGCTTGTTAGTAGCTTGATCCCAAAGCCTCTTGATTGTCATGGACAAGACCGCTCTTTTCACGCTCTTAGCGGAAAAGGATTGGAAGTCCTGAATCGTCTGGAACCGCAACCTTCCTTTGTGGTGTAGAGCTTTTGTGTTCTTAGTGGTCGGAACGAAGTACAGTTGCAGAGGTTGTGTGCAGATCATCATCAGACCTCTTATAAAATCCCAGGTCAAACCACACTCGTCCTTCCGGATCACCTCCAGGTGTCTATCGTAGGTCCTCTCAAACCGTCTGAACACCTCTTCCTGGTCCTGGTCGTTCTCTTCGGACTCCTTCTTCCCGACGACGATGGTAATGTCGTCCATGATTCGCCATCCTCCGACCAGCCTCCTATCACATCCCAGGCTGCTAATGAACCGTAGTTCGGCCATGGCGTATGTAATCGATGCTAGGATAGGGTTAGTCGATCTCCCCATCGGGATCCCAAATACTTGTTTCACCAACTTCGCCCCACATCGTACTACTGAATATTTCAGCTCAAATTCAACGACTGACATTAGCTTCATCAGCGAATGCCAACATATCCGTCCATCTTCCTCTTGTTGCTACTGATCACGCAGAGCCTTCCTCTCATCGAGACTCTAATCTGTTGGCATCCCTCGTTCTCGTATCTCCGAAGCAGTGAATGAACTGCATCGAGCACCGCCTCATGCGGAATCCTTGAGAATATCTCCTTTATGTCATAGCACCTTCCGATCGCCCTTTCAAAACCTACTGTTCTCAATCTCTCCGCCAAAGCCCCCAGTCGTTCCGCCAGCTTAGATACCGAGTTCAGGTAGAAGGTGCAGTTTGCTGGTAGTCTCACCAGTAGGCAGTGTAATGCGCGGGCAACTCGTGGTTGAGCCAGCGCGGTCGGATCGGTGGCTGCCGGTGCGATCGGTCTCCACCGATTCAGGTCCTTGTGCTTCGGTATGACGTACGCCGTTCCGAGGCGTCCGTCCGGTCTCCAGCTTCCGATTGTGTGCAGACCCCGCTGCATGAAGTACGCCTTGCTAGCCTTCATCATCTCTGTTGCCGCCTCCAGTTCATCCACACGTTCGTAGTTAGCATTGCAGGCGAACATTTTACCGAATCCATGTCGGTACAGTATCGGACATATTACGGTCGTATCTCCTTGATTCCGTGGAACCTCCGGCCCCACTCCCGTGTCTCGGCATCCGTCCAAGCCGGACTCTCGAATTCCCGATCGATCCCTTCCATACCCGACGTTAGCTCCGGTCCGGGTGCACCTTTAAGGTGCTTTGTAGCCTCCCGGATCGCGTTCCCGATTGCCTCCACTGTACATGCGTTCGCTGGCCTAGTGATGTTCCTAGCATTCCTCACGAATTGTGGAATCTCCAGTTCCGTGAACCTGGTGAGTACATGCCCTTCGTGTTTGGGCAGATCTGTCTCCTTACATGTACAAACTTGTTCTCGCTCCGTTGTGTAGTCTTTGTGGTTGTGCAGTTGTTCCACGACATTCCGGTTTCGTACCCAGATAATCCGAATCCTGGTCTGCAAGAACAGAGCCAGGTGCTTGTCCTTGACTGCAGCCTCGATAACCCGTCCAGTAGCCTCTCTAACACCGTTCTTCTTAATTCGAGGACCGAACTGTAATTTGACACAGATCTTCCTTCTCATGCTAACCCCAGTCTTCCTCTTAATGATCCTATCCAGCTTCGTACGCAGTCTGTACTTGGTCTCCTTTTCAGTGAAGAATCCAGCCGTCTTATATAACCCAATCAGCGTTCTTGTTGGCAGTGAAGCCAACTGCGAGTCCGATTTCGAACGACGCAGTAATGATCCCAGGAACTTCTTGTTGCGTTCCGTACAAGACCTCGACTTAACGATCTTACTGAACAATACCTCTCCCCCTCGTTGTAAGGCTATCTTCGCATCCCGGAGCCTCAGACTGTGTTTTTTAATTACTACCTCCGTATCTCCAAATCTTCGTCTAATCCTTCTCCATCCGTCACTCCAAATCCTGCCTCCCGAACTTTCCATCATCATTGTTCTTCCTCCGCTGTGTTCTTCCAGCCACGTCAGTATCGAGGTATATTCTACGTCGTGCTGTCTGATTACTATCTTCTTACCCCCTTTTTTTTTTTGTTTATATCCCCTCCCTCTCCTTTCCCGTCTACCCCTTCTGCTCCGTCTTGCTCGGAATCTTTCCATCTTACCCACATACCGAGTATTCAGGCTAGGATTAAAATTTGTAATCAAATGTCGTTCGAAAGCATAATCGTCTGCCCCGTTTGCGTGCCTAATCGGGATAATGACATATTTATCCAGTCCAAACTTCCTGAGCCAGTGGTAAAGATGTGGAGCCTGTCCTAGTAAATCGTTCAATGCGTTCCTACAATGCTCCCTCCACCTCTGGATAATCAGTCGTACAGTGCAGCCAACATACACCTTCTTAGTCCATGGACTAGCTATTACATACACCCCTCCTGTGTCCAGACTTAGCAGGTTCTTCAGATCCTGCGTTTTCCCAGAAACTTTTTCCAACCAGGGAATCTGCCCTTGCAGTACCAAGAGCATGGTGGTAGTGCTAATCACACGTTCCACCCTCCTACTTTCCTCTCCTGTTATCCCCAACCCCCGTAACACCGACCTTTGGTGCAGCCCGCTGTTAAGCGAGTCCCAGAGGTCCGCATTAGTAGGGGCTGCTACCCGTCAATCGGAGTCTTCGTCAGGTTGACTCGGCGTAGACCGTATAATCACCGACACCTGTTTCGCCGGCTTCTCCGAGGTAAGTTTCTCCTTTCTTAATTCCTGTCGTGGCAAGCCCGAGGCCTTAGTCTTGGTCGACGATTTCCCCTTCTCCCATGTCTCTTGCACTTCCTCGAATCCATCGTACGGCAGTTGTACTTGCTGTCTTGCCAGTATTTTCACAACTTCAGGTTTCTTGGTGTACCTAATCCCCTTCCTCTCACAGATCTTCCTCAAGGCATCTGCCTTTTTTGCTGAGTATATCTTGTGGGCAGAGATACAGTAGTCGATTAGCCCTTTCTGCGAGCAACCAGCTGCTAGCCCCTTATATCCGCCGGTGAGTGGTATGACCGGTTCGGCTTTTTCCTCCCCTTGTGGTTCTGCATTCCCGGTCGCCCCCGCCGGGCCGGTCTTCCGCGGTCGAGAGCATTCGCCCTTCTCATATACTCTCGGTGGAGTGTGCCCGTATACATCTTTTCCCTTCTCTTTCGTACTCCTCCTTCCCTTCCCTTTCGTACTAGCTGCTTTCCGTCTTCCTCTTGGTTTCGTACGCGCCCGTTGCCCCTCAGAATCCGAGTCAGACGTTGTGGTCGTAGCTTCACTCTCCTTCGATGTGCTTCCCGATTTCGTTTCATCGCTCGTTGTGTCTCGCCTTGTCCTCCTTTTTCCCCTACGTCTCTTTCCCCTTCCCCAACTTGTCGTCTTCTTCTTCTTGGTGGAGCCTTTCGTCTTCTCACCTGCCCTCGACGCCTCTGCTTGGTTCTTCCTCCATTCTTCTAGGAGCTCCGCACGCAGTTGGAGTTTAAATTCCTCTGCTTTCCTTGCGAAGTCCGGGTTCCGTCGTATCTCTTTTTCCTCCCTCACTCTTCTCTCCTCCTCCAGTTTCCTCTTCTCTTCTAGCTCCAGCCTCTCCTTTCGCGCGATCCTAAAATGTTCCTTCATTTCCTCGAGTTCCCGACTGTTCTGTGAGTTCCCAAAGCTACGTCCTCTTTTAGACCAGCAATCGCGTGCGTAGTGTCCTATCTTCCCGCATGTGAAGCATGCGTTGTTCGCGCTTCCCACTCCTCCTCCCCCTCTGCTATACCCGTTGCTGCCAAGCCCCTGTCCCGCTACTCCATTCTGATTCGTGTTGGCCTCGTTCCAGTACCCGTTTCTCCCGGTTTCGTTGGTGAGAGACATCTTTTCGTATATTACGTCGGCAATTATCTGCTACTAACGTACATCTGTGTTTACGTTCGTTACCCCACCTTACGTTCCCCTGTTTTAGTTATCTTGTTTTCTCGTTGTTTAAGGACCACATTTACCGTCACACTACTCTCTCCAAATATCCACCATCTCACGGTATCGCATCCTGCGTCTGGTTCTAAGGGCTAAGAGAGTAGTCTCAATCTTGATTAGCAGGCTCATAAGACTGTCGTATAACCTTGCTCTCACCGTCTTGTCCGTCACGTAACCGATCATAAAGTACATCGGCTGGATCGTATTCCAAACGTAGTCTTCGAGAGCTTGAATCAGGCGAGCGCGCACGGTAACCCGTCGTCTAGCCAAACCGCATACTCCCCCGCAGCTAACCCCGCATCTAGCACACGAGACCGGCATCCTGTGAGAAGGAAACCCCGACAATGATAACTCCGACTCCTAGCAGCATCACTCCCATCCCGAACAATAAGGTCTTGATATCCAGGCGTTCTTTTCTCGTCATCAGCACTGCCCCCCTCTACCTGCAAGTTGACGGATTCTCCAATTCCGCGGGTCCTCCACTTCTTGCACGGTCTTCCCCGTTTCGGTCTAGAATGTCGCGTGCCCCCCTCTCTCTCGAATCGTAATCCACCGGAGTCTACGGTATCCGTCGCTACAGCCAGTCGTGCCTTCTCCCAGACTGTCTATCCGGCGTCTATAAGTATGCTTCGGGAGAGGATCTCCCCTCCCTCCACGTGTGTCTTAGTCACTATATCCCTACATGCAGATCGCAGTTGCTACACTTGGTCGGTAGGCGTCCTCCTTTCTCGTACGTCCCGTTAGTACATGTTCACCTTAGTGCTTTCCCGCAGTCCGTACCATAACCAGTAGACATCACTGTTTCCATGAGTTGTGGCTATTATGTGCCTCCCCGGTTAGTCCCGTGATCCGACGTACCTCCCCTTCCCGTCTTATATGTTTTATACTACGCATCCCCCGTACTCGATGAGTACTGCATCTTCTCGTCTGCCATAGCACCCACCCTGTGTCGACGCAGCCACCGCCTAGCGCATGCAACTTCCGGTTACTACGTGCCTTTGAGTTGGCGAACTGCGGCAAAACAGTTCGAGCAGCCATAGCAAAGAGATCTCAGAATCATAAATCAAAGTCGAGTATCCCAAGTATGAAAATTGCAAAAGAGAGCAAACATGCGGTCCCTCGACCGGTTTCGCCCAATCCGCATGGGCATCGTCAAGAGGGTGACTCATCTGAGTCTTCGTGCTCGAAAAGGGGAGACCTAAGCCTTGTCCCCTGGGCTTTATACTGCTCATCACCGCCTCTTCCCCCACGACCGACCCCTACGTCGTGACAGCCCCCACTTCCATCACACGTAGAACTTGCGCCGTTTAAGACTGCATGCACACCAACCGTGGCTCACGAACCCAAGAACCCCTTCGTTGACCCTATCCCGAAACCAGAATCCGCGTCTTTTTCAGTCCGTGTACATTGCTTTTCCTACAATATCAATTCGAGCCGATCGGTCCGGGTCCGCCCGAGTTCCCTGTAGGTTAGTCAGTCCCCCTCTTTTAGTCTACCCGGCTGTCGGGGGCGCCGACTTTTATTTCCATAATTTTAAAATTAAAAATATATATATATAAATTTTAAAAACGAGTTCCCTTGCCTTCCTCCTCAAGTACCGACTACGATGTCTCTAGGCTTCCGGTTAGTATTCTGCCGAATACCTCCCGCGAGCTCCAAAATGGGGTACTCGTAATTATAAGTCCGAGAGAAAACGAAAACGAAATCGAACAACAAAGACGAAAAATTAGAATTACGTCCGAAAATAACGAAGTCAAAATGAAACGAAAAACTCAAACGAAATACTCAAGCAAAAACGACCGACCTTCAAGCGAAGGAAGTCCAAAATAACGAAAAAACTCAAACGAGAACTCTAGCGAAAACGACCGACTTTCAAGCGAAAATAAGTCCAAACTAAGTCCGTAAGTAACGAAACGAAATCGAAATCGAAATCGAAAGTCGAAAACCAAAAGACGAAAAACGAAATCGAAAAGGAGAACAAAACCGAGAGTCGAGAGTCCGCCATAGGCCCGAATCTAGCCCGAACTTGAAATCTCGTACCCCTATGGGTCGTCATCCCAAGGTTCTGCATTCGGAGTAGCCTCCCTCTCTTTCGGCTTCGTTTCCCGTCCTTCGTCGGTCGGCCCGCTCCATCTTCAGCCTGTATGCAGAGAAAGGAAGAGCAGCGAGCAGTTTCTGTAATGCTCGGTCCGGCACAGCCTTGGCCAAATCGGCTAAAGCACCGAGAGAGAGAGAGAGAGAGAGAGAGAGAGAGAGAGAGAGAGAGAGAGAGAGAGAGAGAGAGAGAGAGAGAGAGAGAGAGAGAGAGAG